TATTTTTTTTAATGTTATTATTCTTAGTAGGTTAGTTTGCCTTATTTTTAGTTTACATCCACCTCCCTGAGTTAGCAGAACTGTGGGAGAATAGGCTAGATTGTCTTTTGATACATGCATTAATATACTGGAACTGTTTGTGAAAAGTTTATATGGAGGCACCCACCAATAACATTCAATTACAACTTAAAATTGCTCATAAATTTATGTGTTTGGGTCAAGGTTACCCAAGGTAATACATGAGGCAACATGGTTTTCATTTTTCACAATGTTAACTCCCTGAACCTCTAAGAGAAGACCTTGGTAGTCCTTAACGTAGTCTTTCCATTTGCAAAGAGTATTCATAGTTCAGAAACTCAACATGTATTTCTAGTTCCTTCTCAAGAGTTTTGATAGTGTTTTTCTCTTAAATGTTCCTTAAAACTGATGTCAATGTTTCCTGCTCTGTAATTATTGTTTGCCAACATCAGGAGCAGGTTCCCAAAATAATCTTTCCTCATATGAGTAGATCTTACCCACGTGATTTGTTTCAGTGAAATCAGTTACCTGTTTTAAATACTGCCTCTGACATAAAAGGAGATTACAGCATCAGACCTCCCACAGAATTTGCCTACTGGCTTAATTGCCCAGCCTGCTCTACCAACTTTCGCCTGTGTAGCTGTACTGGTTCAAGATCTGAAATTTTCTTAGACCTTTGTTGATGGCAAAATCTTAGATGACAACACAACTATTCTCTCTACCAAGAGAACAAAGTTTTTGTCTATGTCATGGGGTGAGGGAGGTAGTGTAGCTGTGCGAATCAAAAAAAAAAAAAAAGAAAAAAAAAGAAAAGAGTAGCTCCTTCCATTAGCACACATTGCATGCAATTAGCCTGCAGGCAGAGTTATAATGGCAGATGCACTATGGTATAGATGGGTCTACATTTGCCCATTTAAAAAAATATTTCTGTCCTCTTTGCTGCTATGTAAAAAAGCCACCCCAACAACCATACAGAAAACAAGCAAACCATAACACAACTAATTATTTCCTATTACAGGCTGTAAACAAAAGAGAGGGTGTGCAGGTGCTGTGCTTTTGACCTGTTATTTCAGTGGTATGACTCCTGTTCCTCTACAAATCACTGACCACTTGCGTTTTCATCCATTGGAAACATAAGTTATGAATGTTTAGCTGCTGACTAGCATCTAAGTTAAATGTCTACTGTAGCCTAAGAGACTATGAAGAGTGATAATAAATAGGCAGCCTCAAGATACACCTGAAAATAAGCTGCTTCTAGCTGTCACGTAGGGTTTCTTCATAAAGTATGCCTGCCACAGAACCAGCTCAGTGCTGCCTACCACACTGTACTCTCCTCTCTGGGCTACTGTCTCATTAAATATAGTCAGGGGTTACAAAGACACTACTGGGTGCAAATGGAGCTGTGAGGTATTTTCTAGGAAGCCCCCCTTTACCTACCTTCCATCTTTTAATTTCCTGAAGTTTACTGAGCATCATTCAGTTATTTTGCAAATTTGGGAGAATGCAAGTACGACACTGTTTAAACTTGTCATAGAATGAATGGCTTCTGATATGCTAGGGTTATTGGATATAATGTTTTCGCATACGTTCATTTTTAGGAAGTGAATTTAATTATAATTGAATGCAGCATCTTCATTTCCACGAAATAGGACTTGCATTGCAAGAGTTTTTTAACAACTTCTGAAGTACATAGCACTAACGAGTCCTAATATTACAATGACTTCTCCATTTATGACATATAATAGGCTTTCTCTAGACACCACATATTAATAATACAGTAACAATGTGGCATTTGGACTGCTTAAATGAAAGTAAGGTCTCCCTGCTGACACCAGGTGTAAGGTGCTTATGTCATCAAAGATAACCGCAAAGTGTGAGCACCATGTAAATAATATTCTATTCCTATCTATTAAAGCTCTAGAAATTGGAAGAGTTATCAGTTCAAAGACTGTATAAATCACCTTGCAGTTAACAGGGAAGGGTAACAAAAATAATCGAAGTTATGGACCAGCTTCCATACAAGGAGCAAATAAACAAGGCAAAGCTCTTCAGCCTGGAAAACGTGACTGAGGGGAGAAAAGAGAGAGGAGTATGAAATCATGAGAGGCAGGGAATAGGTGACTATGGATGAATTTACTGAAGCTTCCAGTACAAGAATATCAAATAATACAAGGAGGAGGCAGGTGCTGAACAAACAAAATGAGATAATTCATCACTGAACTCATGCTTAGGCGATAGAGCACTCTGCTACAGGATGATGCAGATCTCGGGAGCGTACCTTGGTCCAAAATACAAGGCTAATTTGACTTGCTGGACTAATGCAGAATGTAAATGCCTAGAAAATGAAGGCACAGATGAAGGGAAAAATCTGTCAGAGAAAGACAGAAGTACATTTGCACAAAGTCTTTGTCTAACCATCTGATTATTGGCAAAACTATAGCAAACTTCTAAAAGTACTTTAATGGATTAACTAAAATGAAGACGCTGCTATATAAATCACTTGCTCTCTTCTCCCAATTCTAGTTATTGCTGACAAGAAATTGGAAAAAATACAAGTAATTATATACAAACTGAAAGAGGTTTGATAAATTATTTCTAGTTTTTAATAATTTCTTGAAATATTTTATCGTATGCTATAATATACAAACCAAATGGTCTCATCTTATTTTACTCATAAGATGTTTTTGTTAAGCTCAGCAACATTTTTTCTAAGCCAGATAAAATGAAATAGTATTGGACACTCATTGAGAAGTTATTGCTGTATTTCCCTTGATCTGTCAGCACGTGGTATTTACGCGTTTCTCTATGTCACTTTGATAGAATATTGCTGATTTTAATCTATTGTATTTAATGTATTTTCATATCCAGTGACTGAGAGGTCACAGAGTAATGGGAATATTGACAGGTCTGGTTCTAAGCCCTCGGCCATAAAGCGAGCTTTAATGGTGAGCGTTTACAAAAGCTGGACCGATAGGAAGCTACTAGAGGTTGTTTTCCATTGAGCAAAGACTGAAAGAAAAATCTTGGTGTTGCAAAGGCGTTTACAAGGATAAAAAGCACCACTGTGTTTGCCTGGGGAAAAAAAAAATCTTCCTGCAAACCAGGCCTATTTTCTTCAAATAATCTCCAAGGAAACAGCCTCTGCCAAGCTAGGATCTGATTACCAGTTGCAGGCCTCAGACCATAGCCATTATTGTTTTAATATTTCTGCCTTTCTCTTTATCCCAGCGGGAACCAGGCTGTATGGGCTGCCATGTAACTTGACCTTGCTTGGAGATAAAAAGACAGGTTAGCACACAGCGATCGCAAAGCCAGAAGCAAAAAGACAGTATTTAGAAAATAAAGGAAGGAGCTGGCACAGTATGATTATGTGTAATATTCTACACTGTGTGGCATGGGTAGCCCGATGAACAGTTCCCATCCACAAAACCCAGACAGAAACTTGGTCGTAGTTTCTCCATTTTTAACCTTGCCTGTGCAGAGATGCTGTGATTTTCATCACTAAGATACTAATGATGATCATTTCCTGCAATATTTGAGATTATGAAAAAAAGGAAAGAAAAATGGAAGAAGAAAAAGAAGAAATCTACATAAAATTTTAGTGCTTTCAGTAAACAAAATGACTAATAAATCAGCAGAAAGAGCTGCACACGAGCCTTTAAGTCTTTGTCGCTGTTTTACTACTGTCCTCTGAGCTTTCCATGCAACAAGCCAGTGAGCCCAGAGGTCAGCAGCAATTAGGCATGACATGTTTTAAAGTGCCTTAAGGATGTTAAAGAAAATAAATGCTCAGTGATTAAGCATTCAGCATCTAAAAGCTGAAAAAAAGTGTAAAGGGGAAGAGAGATTCTGTTACAATCAGCTGTGGGTGCTCAAACTGGTATGACAACTGTACATCCCACAAGTGGTCACTGTCAAAACCCAACCAAGCCACTGCTGCAAGGCCACGAGGTCTCAGCTAAATCATGGTGGAGGCAAAGTAAGGGATAGATTTCCTTCAGCTTGTCTCAACTACCACCTCATCTCACAAAAACAAAGCAAACCAAAACTCAGCTTGTGGTAGTTTGCTGTTTCTATGATTTCGTAAAGATTTCAAGCCAAGAGCAGTAGAAGCATGTTTTTTCATATCAGACCATATGGCAGATAATAAATATCTGATGTTCTGATGGCTGATAACTTCCTACATAGGCACGGGCAGAAAATGCAATTTCTGTAATCAAGTGTCCTGACAGATAATGCCACGTCATTCTTCACACATCCGCACTCTCTCTCTTATATCTTTAGGTTATAAGCTCTCCAGAGCAAGTACCCTTGTGGTGCTCTGATCACAGTTAGAGCATTTTAGTACTATTACGGTATGCGTCAGACCAGAGAAAGGAGTTGTAGCTCAGTTAGCTCTAGGTAGGTGGGACTTCTGGTTGCAGTCTTGGCTTTATTTTGAATGGCTCCTCAAAATTATACAAGGTTCTGCTTAGAGACACAACAAAACCACCTGTAGTCTCAGTCATCTGTACTGATGTTTTGTCAGTGGGAAGGAGCTGGTGCTTGTGAGGAGGTGGCCCGTGTGCAGCTTTCTAAATCCCAATTAGTTTTTCCAGCTATTATTTACACATAGCAGAATACACTTTGCATCTTGGCCCTTTGGATTCACTGAGACCAAACCAAGGATTAAGCTGCTTGGGCCATCAAACCTGACTTTGCCCTGCGAAAGAAAAATTATATACCTGCACCTACCTCAAAAGTGCTTGAGCTTCTAACAGACAAAGAATTAAGTTGCATGCTGTGTTTGGAAAGCTTTATTTTCCTCATCATTTTACCTTGTGTGAATTGTGTATGCTCAGGGGTGACCAAAAAGCAAAAATCCCCTGGGAAAAAGTCAGCATTAAGCCTGGTTACAGCATCCCACCACAGTTAAATGGTTCTTTTTAAACTACTTGATGGAAAAAACAAATTTACTTTCTTTGTGTTTTTTCCCCTTCCAGACTCTGACGGCACCTGCTCCGTTTGCAGATGAAACAAGCTGTCAGTGCCAAGCCCCCCATGAGAAGCTAACCATTGCACAAGCCCGCCTGGGAACACCAGGTATGTGTAGGGAGCAACATCAGCAGGACCATGGGTGCTGGGACCATGGGACCAAAGCACAGGCTCTCCCTTACGAACATCTGTCAGTGGTCACTTGTGCCTTCCACTTGGAAGCAGAAAGGCCAGCCTGGTATCTGGTGCTGTCAGGTAATGGGGAAGAAACTAGTAACTAGAGGACCATTATCTTCTGCTAGAGAAACAACAGGAGGAAATGTTTCAAGTTGGAGTTTGATGTTTTTGTGGATGTCTGCGTGTTGGTTGGAAAGAAGGCTTGCCAGCCTAAAAGTTATGTTCTGTAGTGGATGTGGTGTACCTCCTGGATTCTCTTCCCATACTGCCTCTGTATGCTGGAAAACCTCTTCTTTCACTGACGTTTTTGTTGATCATGTCAGACCTTAAGTGGCCTTTGAAAAGAAACCATGCCCAATTTTGGAACTCTTTATCTGGACGTTTTTTCCAGACCTACCTTTGTGATTGGGCTGGGGAAACAGGATGATTCACATAAAGTCCCAAATACATACTTCAGCCCCCCTAAATTCCGAGAGATTCTGTAAAAAAAGCCTTTGTATACTTATTTCACATATTTAAAATAAGCTTTTAAAGTACGTACACTTTATAGGGGTAAGTCACAGCTTTCCAGTCAGCTCTGCAAGGAACAATGTTCTGCCGTGGACCCTTGGATGTCCTGACAGCAGAGACATCTCTCTGTAGCACTGAAGCACAGTCCATGGAGGTTGGAGCTCTCTTGCTCTCATCTCTGCTGTCTTTTTGTTCAGAGGTGGCACAGCTGTCAGGCATGTCGTTTGGTAAAGCAAGTCCTTTTTCTGGCTGGAGGCTGCTGCTGAAGATGTCATACAGAAAGCAAGAGTTACAAGGGTGATAGCAGGAGGATGGTAAGAAAAAAAATGATAGGCTCGTTAGAGAGAATAGAAGAGCTTGGGGGATGTATGAAAAAAGGGAAGAGAAAGGTTTATGTGGAAGAGGTAAGCGATACATTTTTTACAGCAGTAAGCTGTGGAAAAAAAGAAAGTCACAGACAAGAGGCGAGGAAAAGGGAGATGATAGGAAAAAATAAGGAAAAATTTGAAAAAATCCAGAAGGCAGAACTGACTAGAAAGGCAGAGAGAAAAGAACAAGACATATGGTGGAACTCCAAATGAGGCAGGAAGATGACATTTTTGCTAAATTAGAATACAGGGATGATGGATGGTAATAAATAGGCTAAGTCTGAGAGAAAACAGCAGCGAGCACAGAGAAGAACAAGTAACAAGCAGGATAAAACACTGTGAGTTCACCCACGGTGCATTTTGAACATCAGAACTGGGGTAAATCTCCCCAATCATCTCATCTGGGAACAAAAACCTGTCCAGTAGAATTAAGTGCAACTTGTTTTGGGTCTGAAAAATCACTGTTGTGTTTCTTTCTCCACAGTTGACAGACCTGTCAGAGTGTATGCAGATGGGATATTTGACCTCTTCCACTCTGGCCATGCTAGAGCTCTTATGCAAGCGAAAACTCTATTCCCAAATAGCTACTTACTAGTAGGAGGTAAGATCAGAGTTATTTATTGCACTGGATTTTTGCTTCTGTGCTTCAGTATCAGAGAGTTATTGCCGTGCTAGCACCCCCAGCTGTTTATAAACTGTGACTTTGAATGCTGCTTTCACTCTGGGGGCTTTCTATAAGCGATTTGCCTTGAATTATGTCTTACAATTGCATCAATTAAAGTAAAAGTCAAATTCTGCCCTCAGCAGCACAGGCACAATTCCCATTCTAGTTAAAGCAGGTGCCTGCATGACTCTGAGCTTAGAATAGCTCCATATGAATAATTTACCTTTTTCAGTTACTCGCTCAAAATTGTTCAAAGATGGAGATGAGTGAATGAGATCAACCGCTCATTTATTTCTGGCTCCTCGGTCCCTCCGCCAGCCAGGCACAGCCCACGTCCCCTGGCTGCCAGGTCAATACTGTGTGTGCAGACCCAGCCTTCAGCATCAGCAGAGAAGCTAAATCCAGCCCGTTATCATTGGAGACCCAAATGTAGGTCATGATTTGAACCTAGTTTTCAGCTCACAAGTGTCCCCGGGCAGGTTACTTTCTTATCATTTTTTTTTGCCATGAATATCTTCTTTGCTGTGTGGCTGGCTAACAGCTGTTCAGCAGTTGGTACGTGCCTGAAGAGTCACTGGAGGGTGGCTGTGTCCTGCCTAGCTGGCTGTGCAAGCCCTGCTCTCGTGAGGCCTCATAAATATGCATTTCAGTTCCAGTTTCCCTGCATCTTTCGGGTTGAGATACGCCTCGCATAAACATTTCACAGCGACCTTCAGCTGCTCAAATGCTTACAGCAGTGATGATAAAGCGAATGTGAATGCAACCTTCAGTCACTTTATAATATGCATTATTTTGCATCTTTGTTCCAAATCAGTTGAAAGGAGGGAAAAAAAGACCCAACACAGAGGAAAAGCAAAATCTCCTTATGAACACACTTTTTGGTTTTACTCTTAAGTTTATGAATTGTGGCAATTCTCGTGGAGCTTCCTGGGAGGGAAAGGAGACATCCCTTTGTTATGAAGGAAACATTTAGGACTCTCTTGTTTTCCTGCTGAGCCAGATAGCTTGCAGAAGAAACTAGGGGAGGTGCAAGACTGTGAGGTTTAAAAAAAAATGCAGGTTATGTAGGTTTTGTTGTTGCTTTTAAAGGAGTCGGGGGGTATCCCAGATCAGGGAGGGAGCTCTGGGGCAAAAGCCTGGCTCCTTTGAAATTCACAGCATAGATTCACTTTGCCCTTATTTTTGGAGTGAAGGACAAAGCAGCCAGCACTCATCAGCACCTCTTCCCAGCAAGGCACTCTGCATCTTAGCATGTTTAAAAAATGGGCACCTTTCCACGCCCACATACAATTTGTGCTGCAAAAGCACTGGTGTCATGTGTCTTTGTGGGCACCACAACCAACCCCTTTTATTTCTCGTTGTGAAGACAATTATTTGGAGCTAAGAAATTTTTTTAATAGGTATAAATACCTTCCTAAATCAGTCATTAGAGCAGGATGACAGAATCAAAAGGAAATACAGAGATATTGTGTCTGCACTGTACATGAACAAACGGTAATCAAAAAATGAAATCAAACCTTTCTACAGAATTCAAGCAAAAATTACTATTTTCCAATAATTTTAGTAGACCCTTTCTTGCAGGAGAAGGTAGCTTTAAGATGACAAAGGCTGTAAATAAATATAAATACAATCTCAGAAGGGATCTTTCTACTGAAAATGCTTTGGTCTCCATTAAATTTCTTGTCAGCAGGCATCAAAAAATGACATAATAGGATAGAGTAGCATTTCGCTAGCTGAAATTCATATGTGTATTATTATCTGGCTTTGAATTTTGCACAAACTCCAGGGCTATCAAAGCCTTCCTACATTTTTCCTACTTTAAAGGTCCTTAACGACCATCACAGCAAGAACATCCATTTTAGATCTCAAAAAAGACTGCATCTTTGCCAAGCGCTTTGCCTGATAGGTTGATGTTTTCAAATTAGAAAGAAGCAGCAGCTGTAGGGTTGCTCTCACTTCCCTGCAACACTAATAACGTTGCATTTATCATTTGTCAGGTACATTTACTATTTGTCCCAGTGTTACAGACAAGTGAGATCCAAAGGCACAGGTTTGACCTGTGGTGAAGGACAACACTGTCAACCCAGCTATAAATGGGTATCACATTATTCCATGTGGGGTGTTGTCGTGGTTTAACCCCAGCCGGCAACTAAGCCCCACACAGCCACTCGCTCACTCCCCTCCGGCGGGATTGGGGAGAGAATCAGAAGAGTGAAAGTGAGAAAACTCGTGGGTTGAGATAAAAACAGTTTAACAGGTAAAGCAAAAGCCGTGCACACAAGCAAAGCACAACAAGGAATTCATTCACCACTTCCCATCGGCAGACAGGGGTTCAGCCACCTCCAGGGAAGCAGGGCTCCATCATGCATAATGGTTACTTGGGAAGACAAATGCTATCACTCAAATGTTCCCCCTTTCCTTCTTCTTCCCCCAGCTTTTTATTGCTGAGCATGATGTCATATGGTATGGAATATCCCTGTGGTCAGTTGGGGTCAGCTGTCCCGGCTGTGTCCCCTACCAGCTTCTTGTGCACCCCCAGCCTCCTCGCTAGTGGGGTGGTGTGAGAAGCAGAAAAGGCGTTGGCTCTGTGTAAGCACTGCTCAGCAGTACGGAAAACATCCCTGTCTTATCAACACTGTTTTCAGCACAAATCCAAAACATAGCCCCATACTAGCTACTGTGAAGAAAATTAATTCTATCCCAGCCAAAACCAGCACAGGTATCAAATGACTATTATAGCTATAATATTGGACAGAATTACAGCTGTGGGAACAGGCAACTGTGTTTTACGCAATGTTATGTGGGTAGAAAGATAATACCTAACTTTTCTAGTCCTCTGGTAACATGGGAGTTGCTTCCCCTTGTTTTAAAAGCAATGTGACAAAGTATTGGTACATCCAGAGTTAAAGATGCAGGATTTCTGGACTTGCTTATTCCACTAGAGCATACGGCTTCTCCCAGTCCTTTCCATGGAGCTTCCTTCTGTGATTTCCCATTTGAACATGGCACAAGCTTTACTTCTCTTTCTATGAAAGCTGCTGAACTCAAAGCTAAACTCAGAGACAGATTCCTATAAAGTCTGCCATGACCTGTTTTCCATCAGTGTTTATTTAGTGAGAAACTGTTCTGCTGTGATTTAGAGCATTGTTTACATAAGAACAAAAAGCAGAAACAGGAGGCCCAGAGAGGCTGAGGTGTCTCCATCTTTGGAAACTCAACTGGACATGGCCCTGAGCAACCTGCTGTAGTTGACCCTGCTCTGAGGATGGGGATTGCATTAGGTGATGTCCAGTGGTACCTCCTGCCTCGACCATTTTGTGTTACATGACATTTTCTGACACGGCACTTTTCTTTTTGATTGTTTTTAAAGCATTGTCCATCACCCCTGAAATTTCACGGCCCATGAAATCCCCAGTTACAATGGGATTGAGTTACCTCAACATGTGCATATAGTACCGCTTGAGACATCCTACAACATCTCACTTGGGTTCTGCCTGCAGCTCCAGAAAGGGAAGGATCTCTCACAGGTCTATGGTTGTACCTGTCAACCCTGAGCAGAATTCTTAGATGCCCTGGAGCACCCCAAAATTAGCTAAGCTAATAACTAAGTGCTTAATGGAATTATCAGGAAATAATTAACTGCTGGTCATGCTAATTCTACTGTGTGTGGAGCCATTTTGTTGATACTTCCATATTTTAGTTTGCAGTGATGATTTAACTCATAAATTCAAAGGCTTCACTGTGATGAATGAAACTGAGCGATATGAAGCTCTCAGACACTGTCGTTATGTGGATGAGGTCATCAGAGATGCACCCTGGACGCTGACACCAGAGTTCCTTGAAAAACATAAGGTACATTTCTCCCCTTATCCCTCCCTTCCCCTTTGTAGACTGACAGTTGAGAATGAACAGCAAGCCTGTGAAGTTCTATTAGCTCGAGCAAATTATTTAATTCAGTTAATTCCAGTCACTGAAATTAGGTACATGGCATTGCTTGCCTCCATCTTTGTCAGAAAATGTTATATTTGTCTTGCCTTTTTTTTCTCAGGATGCTGAGATGATTTCTGCAGTGGGACTTTTGAATGGCAAAATAACACTGAAGAATTATTCACAAATTGACTTTCAGGAAAGGAGATCATGAACCAGAAAAGTTACTACGTAGTGACTAAAGTCCTGTTAAAGTCCTGAGTTAAAGGCACGTTTCTTATTAATGTTAACAGGTGCAATAATTGGCCAGAAATATGTAAAAATGTCATGGGTTCTCCAAAAGGCAGTACTATTGACTGTCTTGCAATATATATAAATCTTAACAAAAGCATAATTAACTAGGATGTATTTTAGTGTCCCCATCACTGGGTGACAAACGGACAGCATGACAGTACTAGGTAAACATGTATATACACGCAGCCCTAAGGAGGCAAAAGCAATAATCCTGCCTCCATGGTTTTGAAAGCCAAGGCTTTGCCACTTGACTTAGCTCTTCCAGTAGCAATAAAAGCAGGAACAGGTGTCTTAGGTTTTCTACAGAATATCACACAGTGCCAGCCAGAGCGATGTGTTAATGGCAGTGCTGCTGGAGACAAGCTTTCTGTTCTTTCATAATTGATCATACAATACAGCAGTTGTAGGCCTAAATCTAGTGCAATATTCTAGGTGATGGCTTTAGGATGAGAATGACAAAAGGAAGTCAGCTGAAGTCGAGAAAAGAGATGATCCTCCACAACGACCCCCCATTGAACCAAAATTCAGTGATGGTGGCATGTGATTCTTCTTCTGTTCACTGGCAGATTGACTTTGTAGCCCATGATGACATCCCATACTCCTCCGCTGGCTCGGATGATGTATACAAACACATAAAGGAGGCAGGTAAGGGCAAATTTACATTTTTAGCACCTTTCTTTCCAACCTCAGCTCAAATTCTTTTACTGTCTTTGACCACGACTGCTGAGAAAGAAGCAGTAGAGATAATATCACGTTCTCTTACACCCTAATGGTAGGTACTGCTGACTTCAGCAGAAAGGCTCACTTTGTAAAACCACAAAGGATGTCCTTGGCTGAATTCCTGCAGTAACCCCCAGGAAACCATTCAGGTCTGTCACGGGTGAAAAACCACCCTGGCTTTTTTAAACAATTTCAGGTTGCTCAACTAAGAGCTCTGAACCGATGAAAATGAGTTCAGTTCCCACAGCAGCCCAGCCAACTTCAGTGGTTTGTTGATAACCACAAACTGATGACTCCTTGACGCAGCCCAGTCCCGAATATGGGCAAGCACAGGCAGCCTTGAGGAGTCATCAGGATCCACTTCTGATTTGCACTGAGGGTTCTTTTTACTACACTGGCAGAGGGTTTAAATCAGTACCAGAGTCATTCATTTGCCATGACTAGCAGTTTGGTTGACTACCGTATTACACTGAACATGACCATGCTGAAGTCATCAGGAGTTTGTATCTCTCCAGTTCAAGGAAGCTGAATTAAATCTAAGGAGACAATATTAAGCCACTCTTTGCCAGCAGCAGCTGTCCTAACACAGTGAACAGCACGGCAGGAGGAACTGATGATACCTTTCTTCTCTTGCTCACTGGAGGTGCTGCCCTGAACATCCTCTTCCTGGTCTACATAAACATGTATATTGGAGGCTTAAAAAAATTCCAGAGCAAATCTGCCTGATGGTAATTTGTCATGCAAAGTGACCTTCTCAAGCTATACAATGACAGCAGTAGACCAGGTATTGACCTGAGCTGAAAGAATAAGCTTTTTATAGCAGCAGTTCTTGATCTTTTTCCACTTGCAAACCCCACCGTGGTGTCAGACTCACAACTCTCCTTTGGGAACCGCTGCTTTACAGTTTCAGAGCCAGCACCAGCTTACTTCACTAGGCAATGGAACAAAGATACCTCTGGTAAGGATGGGTCACCAAGGGACATACAGCATATGTACTGGCCAGGCAGCTATGTTGCCTTTCTTCTATAAGGTGCTGAGTGCACCGGACAACATGACAGGAGCCCTTGGTGTCACTGCATCATTACCAGAGTGAGCTGGAGAGTGCCCAAACCTGGCACATCCTTCTCTGCTATTGTTGGGCACGGATGCAGTGCGCACGCATCCTGACGAGAAATTCAAACTTTGTTTGCAGAATAGAGTATGGACTTACAGCTGCAGGGACTTGTGGTCTGTCCCATGTCCATCACTGTGAGATGCTGGAGAAGTGACTTCAGTCTTGTATGGCTGAATTTTGTTACATATAAACTGGGAATAATATTTTGAGATCTAGTGCTGTAATAGTCCTAACACTCCAGAACAGCATTATTACAATAGTGAATTTCCCCTTTCTCCTAGGGTGTTTTGTTTTAAATAGACCAATGCTGTGGATGCACTTGTGCATTTTCCTTAGTTCCAGTACTCCCATTTTCCCACATCAGGTTGTTGGGTAGCAGAGAAGCAGATGGGAACTGCGGAGCTCCTTGTGTAGATTCCCATGGGCTCCCATATCCCCACTCCCTTCAGTGGGTGGGAGGGCATATGGACGACAGTGAGCTGGGTGACGGTGCACTGACTAAACCTCTGCACATCTGTGAACAATTAGTTCTGAAAACATGAATCAGTCCAACACATAGAATCATATGAAAGCAAAATCAGTGACTAAAGGTAATGTTCTCATACATGGGTTTGTGCATCTACTGGAAAACAATTCCGCTTTTGGCTTAGCAAGGGTAGGGTTTGGATTTGTTCATATATTCTTGTAGCTCCTATCTATAAAGGCTTCTGGCTCAAAGTGGTTTTCACTGCTTCCAAAAATAGTTTCCTGTGTGATTGCTGAAAGCCTGAGAAACACGATCAGGGAAACCTCTGCTCGTGATTAAAATAATCTATTTTTTAGCAGAGTATTAATTAGAAATCAGAAAGAAAAAATATCCCATAGCATTTAGTCACAAGAGGCTGCTAAGCTTCTTGATTCCTTCTCCAGATCTTTTTCTAACCCTGTGAAATTAGCTAGCAATGCCTGCAGACTTCAACTGAATGCGTGAGGAATAATTTACCAGTAGCTGTACGACCCTTTTAAGACAAAGCACTATGTTTTGCAAAACCATTTCCAGTCTTATCTTACAGCTCTCTCTCAGCAGCAGCTTGATGTTGCAATTACATATAAGTGATAGTAGTAAATTTTGTAGCCCTATCTAACTACTAAGGTACTAAGCACTACAAGGTGTGCTAGTGCTCTGCTGTTATTGCCTTTGTGACTTGATTTAACAGTTCAAGTGATCCTGTCTTGATGAGGAGCAATTAAAAAGCAATATATTGCTCAGGGGTGTTGAGGAAAATACAAGCAGTATTAATAAATGGCCAGTTTTATTAGGGACGGATCTGCTGGAGCAGGGAGAGTGGTTATGCAGCCACTGACATGGCCAGGTGGACACATGATATAGGGGCTATGGAGACTGATACCCTCAGTCCCCACGGTGTATCTGTGTTTGTTTACACCACCATTACACTGCATCTTCCTGTTACAAGCTACTGGCGCCTCCAGGGTGTTTCCCAGTTATTGTAACGCATCTTTTACCTGAAGGCGCTTGCTGGCTTTGGCCAAGGCCAGGTGCTGGTCTGTTTTACTCAGCAGAACAAAGACTATCAGATGGTGCAGCACAGGAGTGGAGGGGAGAGTGGAAATACACAGGAGAGCAGCAAATGGCCTTTCAATAGCGGGAGTGGAAGCCAACCCCCCTGCTCCTTTGTATAACATTAAATAAGGGCTACGCTTACAGAAAGAACTGCTCAGTGAATTGTCACAACTGTGAGGTTTAGCCTTCCTGGCTCGGGAGCCCCTACCAGTCTAGTAAGTTCCACATCACAGCTGACACTGTGAAGAGAGCAAGTTTTAGCCTTTCTGAAGACCTGAGGAAAAATGAATGGTATAGCAAGCTGGTGCCTTCCCTAAGCTCACACAGGAGCAACAGGAAAGAACTAGGAATAAGACAGGCAGAATTGCGAGTCTCTTACCTTTGGTCAGGCATTTTTGTGTTCACCTTCAGCTACTTGCCGCAGTGCCTGGTCCTGCCGTGCTTTCTCAGCGGGCTTTCTTTTCCCACTTTGCTCAGGAATGTTCGTACCAACGCAGCGAACCGAAGGTATCTCAACATCAGATATCATCACAAGGATCGTCCGGGACTATGACGTGTACGCCCGGCGCAACCTCCAGCGAGGATACACCGCCAAAGAGCTGAATGTTAGTTTTATAAATGTAAGTACACCAATCTGCATTTGCTTCTGAAACACGCTCTCCTAGGACCCCGAATGTAGAGTAAAGGTTAAGAAAGGATATCTTCCTCCTCTGCTTTTAAAACAGCTGGGAAGAACTTAATTTAAAAGAATCTGGTAAACTGAGGGTAGTTTTAATTGCTCCTATTAATTAGCAGCTTTGTTTCCATCTTATGCTTTCACATTTGTGACAAAGCTGCTGCTTTCCCTTCCTCCTTGAGCTGTAGGTGACTTAATGACAAACTAGGAAGGAGCCCACCCCCCCCTGCCAGGCTTCTCAGCCACTCACCCAGGACATCATTTCTTTCTTTATTCCTGTTGTGAGAAAGCAGCACAGAGAGCAAAGATTTTGATATCCAAATTTTCTCTACAATGCGACAGGGTAAAAGAAAAAAAAAAAACCCCAACCACTGAGCAGTGAGATTACTAGAAGAAGCTAAAATAGTTTTTAAAAGACAAGGAAGTGTGTTAAGAAGCTACGTAAATGGTACATAAATTATGCTGATCAGAAGCCACAATAAACAGGGCAAGAGTGCCATTTGAAAGGATGGCTCAAATTATTCAGCTTCCACATACAGAACTGCACGTTATCCTCCAGTGAGGAGTAAACACTTAACAGAAATGAAAATTTACTTTCCTTCATTTTCTGTTTCAAGTCTTAACTTAAGGCCACATAACTGAAATCTTTCTTGTGATTGGGCTGGCTCACAGCAGGACTTCCCACCTCCTTCCCTGGAGCTGGGAAACTCCCTTGTGAAGGACTGAATTGTGTCATTTCATGAGGGTTTTGTTTACTTGTTTCTTATTTTGAAGTCTGGCAGATAAATCACAGATCACAGGGCATAAATATTTATTTCACTGTGCTTTTTTTTCAGTCTTCTACACCTCTAAAAAATCCTGCTTGTGAGTACTCCACCCAGAAGGATCACTATTGCAAATATCTGTTAAATTAAGGCATGCTGGATGCCTTGGGGGTTCTCAAATTTATCCTTTAGGGGCTCTGAGGTTAAGATACTGTTGCATAAGGTATGCTTCCCCCAGTCTCAGACACTAATGTATCGTGACGTCTCCTGGCGTTCGGTTATTTAGCTTATAGTAATTTAAATGCAGAAATACTAATTTGTACTAGAGGCTGTTTGTGTTTCAAAAAAAAAAAACAAACCAACCAGTATTTCTCCAAGACAGAGAAGCACGGGTTTCCTCGTTAAAGAAAGGCTTGGTCACCTATTAGGTGCAAAGTGAGTTCAGTTTCTTTGGATCTTGAGGATTTTGTTTGGCCTTGTGGCCTGCAAAGACGGTTCTTCTAGTGATTCATGAGACAGGATAAAACTCACCTCAGCACTAAACAGTATTTGTTTTAAAAGTAAATTCAAGTGCCCATTAAATGAAGTGTACAGGAAATTAAAAGCTGATAGCGATCTGTGCTTCTACAGAGACCATTACATCTTCAAGGGCACAGCGTGTGTCCTGTATGTTTGAGGAGCACAGAAACGTTTCAGGACAAAAGCCCTTTAACCCCAAAGTATTTTAGAAGCTCGGCCCGACGTCAGCCCCCTAACATTATCTCCTCTGTCCCTCTCTTTTTCTGTGTGCCTTCGCAATTAGAAGTTGGCTATCTTTTCTCTGAAGTCTGCTGGCCACAAGCTGCTGGCCTACGCACATCTTTCTGTTGCAGCCAGAAGCTCCTGTGTTAGCCAGGCTTGGAGGTGAAGAGAGTTTTCCTTCTGCTCTGCAGAAATCTAACCAAAGAGACATTTTGGTCCAAATTATCATCAAGGCTAGCAAGTCAGCAGTGGGCTGTGTTTGCTAGGAAACCCAGGGAGATTTGCATTTTGCTTAAGTTTGAGCTGTTAATTTCTCACTTGTATCTTTCACAAGATTAATACAATTTTCAAAATTGAAAATATGGAAAGATTCATATAGTGAATTAAACACAGTAATCACACAAGACGGTCTTTTCAATATGTACCTTCTGCACTTCATTCCACAAATGTTAAATTTGCATTTATAAAAATAATGTGGGAATAGTTAACCAAGGCCATACGTATTAGGATACATTAATGCAATTTTTTTCTTCTTCTCAACTGTCAGTGGCTAATTATTTCCAAGTCCCTATATATTAATCTCTGTCCACACTTTTAAAACAGGAGAAGAAATACCGCTTTCAAAACCAAGTGGACAAAATGAAAGAAAAAGTCAAGAACGTGGAGGAAAAATCAAAAGAATTTGTTTACAAGGTGGAAGAGAAGAGCCATGACCTCATTCAGAAATGGGAAGAAAAATCCAGAGAATTTATTGGCAACTTTTTAGAGCTGTTTGGACCCGACGGAGCCTGGGTAGGTATTCTGCCATCCCAGGAAGTCTGAGTGGTTTTTACGTATCTTCTCTAATGCATATCAAGAGGAGATTCTTTTGCTGCAGTCTTTGTTTTGAAAGCCAGCACAGTAGGATAACGCCAAACCTGCTTGCTGAATCCAATAATGCCTGCCAACACTGCAGCGGGAGGATTTGCCACTCCTGGCTGTTGCTTCTTTGGGATAATTCCTGTCTTTTGTGAAGGTGTGATGCTGAATGTGATACTACATTCAGTAGAGCTGCATAACAGCAATACACAAGCTAACAGGCTAATACAGTGTGTCTATTAGCACTAAATGGGACCACACAGACGTCAGGGAGAAACTATACACTGGAGATGGTGAGGGAAACAGGGACACTAAAAAGTTTTTCGATAGTTCTTTTCATGCTCTGTACTCAGCAGTAGATGACAACAATTTTCTAACTTTAAAAACTACTGACTTAAAGTTCCAAGAAATGATTTTACATGTCGAGTGGCCAGGCTCATCTAACTGACTGCAGGGAAGACTCGGGTGGAACTGAAGCACTTTCGAAGCTCTCCTTGGTATATGCTGGCTCCACAGAGCCCATTTACCAAACGTCCCCAGGTGCCTTGGAAAGGCAGTTGAGAGTCTGTAACAGCATCCTTCTGGGGAGAAACCCCAAGGCTCAAACCGAAGTCATGCACTGAGTGGATGGTGAGTCGGTGACACTTCAGAGCCCCAAAAGAGTCCTGGCCCCCATCTGTCAGTTCTGATAGCTTGCCAAACCTTGAGAAACTTTGTTTTCTTGTACTACTTCTCTTTGCTACTTGAAACCAACAGCAAAGCTTATTTTGAATGTAAAAGTTAGCATTTGTTTGAACAGACCTTCTTAGACCTTCCCGTTGTGAGTCAGTCCTTTTTCAACAAGCTCTCTGTGCAGCTGTGCTCTGGTGAAAGCCCAGGCCCCAGCCAGACCCTTCAGTACAGGCATCATCTCGGACGTGCTGCTCTAGTTGCAAGCTCCAAGTGCTTTTGCTCAGTCCGAGGAAACGTGAGCAAGTACGGAGGAGAGCAGCAAGCAGCACAGGGTGAATTGAGGGGAGCAGAGAAAGAGCTAGACAAATAATCTTGCAGAAGAGCAGGATGCTTCAGAGGTACATTTTCAGACCATGGCGCGCAGACAGTCAGGCAGCTCCCTCCTCACTTGAAAGCAAACCCTTTGCAAGAAGCTTGTGCAAAGCTTTAACTGCTCATGGATTACAGTTTGAGGCAAAATATCAATACAGGCAGCAAGCCAGAAAAAACAGATTAGGACTAGCATGAAGCAGATACTATTGGAATATTTAAGAGCCAACACATAATGTTCTCTCATGTCACTTTTATCTGTTCATACCTGAACAGCTTCCCATCACAAAAGGTACCTTCTGTTGAAAGGGTCTCAGCAGAGTTTTTGTTTATAAACAAACCCTCAGGAAGATTCACAGACCCTTGGTGAATTAAGTAGCCCACATCACAGCCATGTCACAACTCAGTGCCACCAAAGCACGTAGTACCTGCCTCTTACTGGAGTTCTCATCTTTTCTCTGCCATGACTTGCCATGTTGATTACCATTTAGTTGAGAAAAGCCTAAAATTAGGCTGTAAAGGCTTCAGAACAGAGACTGCATCTTTATAATCTCCTTACAGCTACATCTGTCCCATGCAAAGGCAGGTGCTTTCTGAATAACACTGGTCCCAGCCATATAAACAAATAGCTTATTTAGCAATTTGTTCATTGACAGTATCATTTTCCTTGGGGAGGGGAAGAGGGTAAACTCTTCTGATAAAAAGCCCAGGTTTACCTGCATTGACCACATCCACATGAAGAGTGCTTCCTCTGTAAGTTATTCTCCATTGAGCTTGGCAAGTGTTCCCCGTGTGGGATGATCCTGTGGCCATAGGTGCCGAATAAATACAACTAATGCTCACAGAGCATGTGAAACCCACAGGAGGCGAGATGAGTTTGGTTGTGCGGAGAGAGGAAAAGAATTTCAAAGCCTTGATCCCATTCCCTGGCTCTACCCACTCAACACTGCACACTGATGGCATTTTTAAAAACCCTTTGCTGATAAAACATTTTACCATTCTTAATTAGAGAAAAGCTGCTCTGCAAAGGTCTTTGCGGGGGTGGAGGTGGCCTCCTGTTTATTGAGTTAGTGTGCCAACCAGAGAGTAGGAAATCTGGTGCAACGAGAGACCTTTGCTAAGAACAAGAGTGAAATCTCCTTGCAGTGTTGTAGGAAAAGCATCAGTGACAGCGAGCTGAGAGGTGGGGTGGCTTTTTTAAAATCAGTTTGAGCCTTGCAACAGGAAAAACTTTTACAATAATGATAACTTGCTATTAGTGTCAAAACTGTTATTAACGTTAATTTGCCTTATCACTGTTAGTTAGATGTTGCTTTTAATGTTGACATTAAAAGTACAGGAATCATTATGGGCATGCTAGATTCCTAGATCAGTAATTTGCATGCCATTAATATGCTATTATTATTTCACAAATAATTAGTATAATACACTTTATGCTAGCATCAATTTTTTAAAAGTAAAGGCCACATAACCTACAAAAAAATAACCGTTTCTGAAAAACATCAAAATGTCAGTTCTGAAACATCAAGATGTCTATAATTCATTGGCAATTTTGCCCACCTGTGCAATCCCCTGTATGTATTTTTTCTGCGAGAGAGTCACAGAGGGGTCAGAAACACCGATTAACCTGCCATGAAACTTGTGTCCTGGCTTGAGAGAGGACCACCACACAGCCCGGCACGGAGGCCCTAATGGCAGAGACGCCACTCCACGGAAGCGGAAAGCAGCGGCGCTCATTCCGCTTTCTCTCAGACACATACGAGCAGGCAGCTGCATTTCAGGTCAGCGGAGAGAAAGCAAGCCTCACGGGGCAGGGTTTCCATGCTAATCTCCCTCTCGGAGGAGACAGGTGTCCCTCCAAAGGGCCTGTTTCCCTCTACTCAGTGCACAGAGGGAGTCACGGATGGCCATATTGGGAAATGGCTGGATCACATCAGACGTCTGCAGGGGCTCAGAGGAATCTTACAGGTTGCCCAGGAGCTGGTGTTCAGGCTACACCGTGAGTCCGCAGCCTGGACCTGAGCGTGGCCTTGAAAGAATCAGCAGCTCAAAAGTAGCAGTCCTCCAGAACACCCAACTGGCACTTGTTTTGTAAAGCAAAGGAGTATTGACATGTAGGCAATAAAATTCAGAAATAAGCGAAGTATTTTGAACCGGTAGCAAGTTTGCCAAAAGCAAAGCATTATCTCCCTAAACTGGTAGGGTGTACTTGAACTTGTTTGAACCAAGGCTTTGAAATTATTTTCCCACCTCTGGTAAAGGTCCAGAGCGCACCCAGCCTTGTCTAACCCTCCTGCACTTCAAGGGAACCATTAACACTTGTTCTACTTCTTCAGCACCCAACGGCCCGAGGAGCACCCCCCAGTTAGGAAGACCTTGCCTGCAAAGGGCGTGACTTACTGACCCTGCTAGAGCACATCTGGAGGGGAAGGGTCATTCTGGAGGCAGGTGAATTACACCACCACCTCCTCCTGCAGCAGTTGTTGGTTTAGCCCGCAACCTGGTGGCTAAAGCACTAATGCAGGAGGCAATTCGGACTGACTTGGCTCTTACCCTTCTGAAGGTGTGAGTGCACCAGCTTGTTCAAGCAACAAAGTCTTTGCTGAAGCAGGGACTGGGAAGCGGGTGTCCTACAGCCTGGCTGAGGGCCTTAGCAGGAAGGTGGGGTTCTCCTTTCCATCCCTGGCCCATATGGCCCAAGGTACAGTCAAGTACCCCCTGCCATGTGAGATACCAGCCAAGCTGGGACACTGATCTCCCCCAGCACTGGTACCACAACACCATGAACCACTGCAACATCACTGAGCTTTTTGAAGTGGCTGGTAAGACGCCAGGGGCAGAAGGGAGTCAAAGTGTTTTGCTTGGCCAGGAATAAGATATTTTTTAATCAAACATCTTTTGTTGGGGATTATCTTCACTGAGAGGGTGAAACAGACTAAGTCAAGCCAACAAAACCTCAATTTCTGTGATCTAAAAAGAAATTTTGCACTCCTACCACTGAATTTCAACAGGCTCCGGGACTTTGCCAGCCCTGCTGACATACTCACAGCAACAGAAACCCTCCCCCACCCGAATGCTTCCTGGCACCATTCATCAGGAGCAACCACCATCTGCTAACTATTGAGATTTCAGGAAGTCTCAACTATTTTGGACCTAGCAGTAGTGCAGGGGTAGGTTACACACCGTGGGTCTTTATGCAGGAGAGCACGGCTAAGCATGGCTCCAGGCAGGAACTGTTCTGTCATTCTGCACTGCAGCAACATCCAGGCTCTAAGACCAAGTTAATAAAAACCCATATGATAAAGATATAAATTGGGTGAGGGAACTCACAGAGGAACAGTTAAGCTTGGTATTTATGCTTGATCATTAACTCCTGGGATTAGCAAACACCAGAAACCTGATGGGAAAACCTAGCATTTGCCCTTCTGCTGGCAGGGAATGGTGAGTTTTAAAGAGGGGGAGGAAGAGCAAGACAGGCAGCCACATGCTCCTTGGCTGGGAGGAAGGTCATCACAGAGCAGAGTTGCTGCAGGGGGAAGGGGAGGAGGAACAAAACAGAAAGTCAAGCTGAGAAAGTCTGTGGACTGCAGCTGCCCAAGCAGGCAAACCCAGAATACGTTCTGCACAAGTAATTTGCTCTCAGACCCGAGCAGCAGCTTAACTTTGTCTGGGCTGGCTCTTCCATTCCAGCCAAGCATCACCTGTGATCCGACTCCCGGTACTCCAGCCAGGGTTGAGACTTCTTGTTCCCCATCGCCAGGAAGAGCAGCAAGGCACTTGCATTTAGCATTTTCCACATGAAGCCTGCAGCAGCCGCACAGTACGTGCTAGATCTCCTGTAACCCAGGCCGGCAGCCTAATGCAAGGCCATGTAAGCGCTAACAAGTAGCAGCATTTGCCTTAGTGTAGCGGATCGCTTGACTGAAAAGGTGGTCTCTTCCACCCTACCGAGCTCTGGCAGGCCTCCACTCAGCTTTACATGGCAAAAATGACAATAAAGTCCAAACCAGAACATAGAGCCTGCACGTGTTTCTCTTTTCAACAAAGACACTTGAATTCTGACATTCCCACCCCCAATTTAATGGTTTGGGTGGTGCCTGCTCCAGGTAGCTGGGGAAGTGGCTGCCAGTATTTGGCAGGCACCGGGCTGCCTCCCTTGAGAAGGGAAGGAGGAAAAAAGGCTGGGCCAGCCAGGAAGCCCATCGGGAGACGGGCTGGCTGTCCCAGCATGCTAAAAGGAAAAGGTCCTGGGAACAAGGAACGCTGGGACTTCAGGCAGAAAACTGACTTTTTGAGACAGTGTGACCAACACATACAAAAAATCCAAAGGGAGTTCCCCCTAGCTGGCTTAGGACAATACACACTGTACTCTCACACTAGGGTTATCTGACCTAAGAAAAAACCTTGTCATGTAAAAAACGGGTTATTACGAGCACAGCAGAAGAGGCAAAGGCTAACTGTGGGCTGAACTGTTCATGCTTCAGAGCAGAAGTCTATCCTCCCTGCTCTCTCCCAGGCGAGAGGCACAGTGCAGCGCAGCCCCTGCCTGCCCACAGACACCTTCCCCTCTGTGCATTACTCAGAGAGCATCTTTTCACTTTGCTTTTGCAGAAGCAGATGTTCCAGGAACGAAGCGGCCGAATGCTCCAGGCTTTTTCTCCCCGGCAGAGCCCAAACAGCAGTCCTACGCGAGGCCGTTCTCCATCCCGTTCTCCATCTCCACCCTGGGTCTTCAATAAAGCCTCCCCTCCCTCTTCTCCAAAAGCTGCCTCTGCCTCCCTCAGCAGCATGAGCGAGGGAGACGAGGATGAAAAGTAAAATAAAGATATTTTTTTAACCATGAGACAGAAGAACAAGCTATGAACTCAACCGCTGGATGGGGAGAAGCGTGAGGAACATCTGGGATACCTCTGACAGCAGGGAACGTGCTCTGGGAGAAGATGCTGAAAACAGACTAGAGCACAGCAAGTGAGATCTCAGGAAGAGCTTATCCCATCCCCCACTCCCTCGCGGTGCCTGGAGGCCCAGCCAGCAGTGCTTGCCAGACACGGTACCGGGGACTGACAGAAAAACATACACCTTTGTGCAAGTTCCTGTCCATGTGCTGCTGCTTACAGCTGCTGCGGCCAGGGCGGGTCAGCAGGGAGCTCTGCACCGAGGGGGGGCTGGAAGGAGGAGCCCTGTCGGCTCCCGATCCAGACCTGGCACACGGGCACGCGACAGCTGCGGCCTGTGGATGGAGAAGATGCAGTAGTACTACTGGACCCTGCTAACCTTGAGCTCTTCTGGCACGTGAAGGAATGGCATTGCTGCAGCAGATACGTTCAGAAATGGGAAATAAAATTTTACTACTTTTCTTTTTGAATGAAATCTGCCCCAGACCCCAAACCATGCCAGTGAAATGGAGAGCTCTCCAGCTGAGTTGGTGGAAATCCATTTAATACATTCAAGCTATTGAATGCTGCTTGTTGACCAAGCCTCTGTACAGGGTGTATGTAAAGAGTCAGGCTGTAATCGCTTTATCAAATTGCTCTCTGTGTTCCTAGTGCCTGAACAGCTACCCGACAACTTCTCTTTTGCTCCCTGGCTTTGCACTTTGGAGGCAAGAAAGTAAATGAAAAGACAGCCCTAGCTGGAATATGTTGTTGTAGGAAATTGATAGTTTGAAGATGTTGGTGATTTTTACTGGTGAATTCTAAAAAACACACATGCGATCCCAAGGCCTTGGGACGTGGCCTCCTAGGAAACCCTGCTGCTCCCTGCTACGTATCACCAAACGACGAGCACAACAGTGCTGCTGTCCTCACATGCTACTCAGCCGATTAAACAATTTCTCATCAAACTCTATAAACAACATGTGTTCACAGACACCCTGCCCCGCAGGGGTTCTGAGGCTATTTCTCTACCCTAACGTGGAGAAAAAGTTGAAAAAAACCAATGGAAACCTTTTAAACAGGATTAGGCATGGGGATTTTCTTCCTCCGTCCATGACACCCATACAGCCCCAAGCAGAACCACAGAGAGGGTAGCACGAGTGAAGTGTTCCCCTCCCCTCGATGCACTAGCTGATCTCCTTCCAGCTTGGCAAAGCCAGACCTGCCTGACGTCCGGCTCCACCGTTCAGTCCTGCAGCTGGCACCTGGTGAGGTGGCTGCAGGCTTGCAGGATTTCCGAGCGTGGGGGACCCCCAGCCCCCAAGGCTGCCCTGCCCCACAGCTCAGAAAGCCGCAGGAAACACCCGGCCCACATCCCTGTGGCAGGGCTGCGAAGCAACGATGCGATTTTGCTCCCGGGCTTGCCTGGGGAAGCCTGCCTTAGGGCACGGGCATGCCCGAGGCTCTCCAGCCCAGCACCAGCTTTGGTGCCAGGCCAGCAAGGTAAACGGTGCCGCCATGGGCCTGTCCCACCGGCAGCCTGCCGGGCACAGACCCCAGGCAGCCTGGGCAGGGGGTCGCAGCAGCGAAATCGCCACTGTGCCACTGCTCCCTGGCGTTGCAAACCCATCAGGACACACAGCCTGCTGTGGGCAGCCGCAGTCAGCACTTGCTGGTTCCCTGTGCAGGCAGCACAGGAAACGCTGGGAGAGGGAGGGCTCTGAGCGGCTCTTGGAATAAAAAACTGTGAAGGGACAAGACACCCGAGTGCGTGAGCACACGGGGTGGTAGTACCTGCTGGCAGCAGTCCCTCCCAGGCACCATGCTTACCTCGCCGAGTGACTAATAGGTAAACGCCTCTCACTCCTTCCCTTCCAGATACTTTTCCAGGCCCGTAAATCACGGACCCTTGTACCAGGCACCAAATTAGTCCCGCACTCTGTTCATTCCCTACAGCTTTCATCCCTCCCCCACTATTGGGTAACTGATTTTTCTTTGGGAACACTTTGCCAGACACTTCTCTGACTACCACAAGCTGAGTACATAGTATCTCGTCCTCTGGAGTCAAGCTAGTTCCTTCTTCACAGAGCTGCAAAAAGAGATGAGCAGGGAACAGGGTGAACTAGCGCTTTCACTGGAAAGTGCAAGGGGAGAGCCACAGCTAGTTCAGCTGCCGCCAGCTGTGCGCCCGATGGGACGATGCAATTAAGACCTTTCTCAGCCTTAGGCAACCTGTTACTGTAATTTCATACCTGGGATGCACTTGTTAGTTTTTCTGATCCTTTGCAAGTCTTAAGTCTTCCCATCACAAACCGCTCCTCCACCACGGGAACCGTCTGCTCTCTACTGGTGCTGTTTATACGACGAGCCATGTCCAAATGCAATGGAGGTGGGGCAGGTTTTTGTTGCTCCTGGCTTTTACCGTTTGGTTTTTTGTTTTAATTTCATAGTGCGTACTGTTCAGCAGCCCTTGTTCAATGGTTTGAGTGGAAGACAGCACCATGACTTTTAAATAGGAACTGGAGAAAAACTCACCAGTGACCTCTTCTTAACAGAAGCTGCTTCTCCGAGTCACAGGTGGCTACCCAGCAACAAAGCCATATTTGTACCAGGCGTCCTTTCGCATTTAGGATATCAATAAGCTGAAGCCTGTGCCCTGCTGGTACAGACACCAATATCCATGTGCCGTCTCCAGCAAACCAGAACCTCATTGTCTCTGGACACGTAGAGGGCAATTTTGCACTTCTGAGTCATGGTTGGGTTTTATTTTTCATGAGTGTTGCTTTAATTCAGTTCTATTTATCAGCCAAGCTCCACATGGAAAATAAACAGTGTACAACAGATACTGCTGCCTCTCACCTTCATTTTGTAGCATCTTTGGACACATAAATACAACCCCCAGCCTAAGCCCCACTGATAGCACAGTGCTTCTTACCCCCACCCTCTGTACCCCAGTACAAACTACCCATCCTTACGCCCCCACAAATGCCACCAGAGCAGCCTCCCCAACCTGCCCAAAATCCTGCCGCTCGACTTACTACTGCTGCTCTCTGCTCTGACAGGATCACCTCGCTCCTCGCCTTCACTCAGGCTTTTCTGGCTGCAAGGTAAACGCTGCCTCGGCTGGCAAGGCGCAGCAGTAGACACCAGCAAGCCCGAGACCTCCCTTCCCCTCTGCCCCAGCGCAGTGGAATCAGAAGCCAGTATTTTAATTCTTGCTTCTAAGTGGAAGAAAGAGGCAGTGCTTCTGCAACCATCCTGGTTCTGCTTCTGAAAACAGACCCCAGCAGCAGCAGCGATGCTCCCGTCTGTGCCAGGATGGTTTGCAGCTGTGCCAAATTTATGCAAAACTGCAGCAGCAAACATTAGCCACAGGGACAACTCCCGACCTTTGGACTTGACTCTTCCTCCAGCTAAGTCAGTCAGATGCTTAATGTTCCTGCTGCGCTCTTTAGAAAGAAATTATTACTGCACCAGCTGTAGAAAAGATATTTTTAAATTATTTATTTATTGTCAGTCCTGCCTCGGGCAGCGAGAAGCTGAACGAACAGGCAGGGACTTAGGACTTCCCAGCTAAGGTATTTTTAACTGCAGAATAAGAACAAATTTCAAAGTCATTCGGCATGGCAGAGAAACTATTTAAAGGCACAGAGTCCACACTAAAATGCTGCCTGGTAATACAAGCTTTATTACTCAAGATGGATTTGGGACTGTTTTGAGCAGTGTCGTGCATCACTTGGGAGATACGAGACATCCTCATACACTCCCAGGGCCAGGAAAGTCAGCCCAGCCGCAGTCCCGCTTCTCTTTTGCCGCTGAGCTGCCTCCGCAGCCTCTTGGAGAGGAACCACGCCTGACTGGTGCCTCCCCACAATCTCACTGCCTTTTAGGCGCCAGGTCTGCGCGCGCATACACCTGCGCAGCCGTCAGCGCCCTGGGAAGGGAAGACAGGGACTCTCTTCACACCAGCCTGACCTAAACCCAGGGACATGAGCCACCACTGAGCCGGGCCCTCCCAGGCAAGGTGACACAAAGCAAGAGCTGCAGCACCCCGTGGTACCGTCTCCCTCTACTGCAAAACAAGCCCCAAGTTAGATTTGGAACAAATTTTAAATCCAGCAGTCTGAACAGAAAAGTGTTTTCAATTTTTTAACTGGGATTTCACTGCACTATAGAAACCCTGAAAACACCAGCAAAGAGCACGACTGGGAACAGTCAGAAAGTCTCCGCTGTAAGTTCATACGAGTTTATATAGAACAGGCAGGAGAATGTTTAAAATGTGGCTGCAGAAGCAGAGATGATTTTCTGCAGTACAAGGCAGAGCTCTTGCACCAGCGCTTGTGAAACATCTACAGTATTTCCTTAGTTTTAAATCCTTCCATCATTTAGGCATGAAATATAACATTGTGTAAGCTCACTCTCAGGGATGATTTAATGCACAAAGCTCAAGATAGGTAACATTTAAAAAAAGATTATAATTTTTTGTGTAAATTAAAAATTATTTCCAAGTACTGTAGGGACGGAATTCTCAAAAGAAAGAAAATATTTAGAATAGCACAAAGCAGTAGTACCAACAGGTGGAAGTGGACAGTTAACAACAGGAAACAGGCATTTCAAATAAAGCCACAAGAAAACTAGATGCTTTTTCATGAAGAGGAATCCTGACTTCCTAAGGGAACCGGCTCAGAGCTAGGACCACTTCTCAAGGAGGATATGGCTGTAACAAATCCCCGGCATTGCCCATTCTGATCTCTCCTGAACGCTGCTGCTGCTCTCCTTGTCTGCTTAGCTTCCCCTTTTACGTCTAAAAGTCTTCCTGCCGGAAGGGCTGCTCTTCACTTTCACCTTCTCTCCCCTGAAACAAGAGGCAGAGGTGCTTTCGGTCTGGACGGGCTTCACACCTTGCTCAGCTAGCGGCCGCAGACGTACGCTGGAAGAGTAGCTACGAGACGACTAAAACAGCTCTAGAGCCCAGCGTGGGTGGCAGATCCTGTACCTCCTTCCCCGCTCCAAAGCCTTCATTAAACAAGGGGAAGCTGTTTAAATTCCCCTCGGCTTGTGGCTTTGCTTCCTCAACTGCAATCCTTGCTTTTCCAAAACCTCAGGGGAATGACTTTTGCCCACGGAAGCCGCTTGGTGGGTCCCTGGTGCCGCGTCCCCATGAGCACACGCCCTGGGAAGCCAGGCCCTCGCCGCGTACAGCCCAGCCTGAGGTCAGAGAAGATTCTTGTTTCGGTGCAGGGCAAACCCCCTCGGGAACAAGAAGGTCCCCTGAATCCACACAAGGCTTACCAACTCAGCTCAGCAGAAAGGAAGGGTTTGACACTACATTGAATTTGCTT